CTGTCTTTTGACTCCTCTCCTTCTCTGAGGGAGCTCATCCCATTCTCCTTCATTTCTCCCAATGCAGTTTTAGACAGCACTCTTTTGTAGGCTAAACAAGCCACGCCTTCTGTTCTCCTCCTGCGAGACAGGCTCTTCGTCCCACTGAAACATCAGCTGCCCCTCGCTGTACCTCTGCTAGATCACAGCTGACGACCGCCGGACACAGGCGTCAAAGTGAGGTCTCTCCACAGCCTTAACCACCATCTTCATATTTATTGGCCATTATTGGAAATATCTTGCTGGATACAAGTCAGAATCAGATGGTAGCTTTCTCACAGCCATGTTACACTGCTGGTTTATAAGTTTCTATCAAAGCCCATGGTGTCTTCACATTGTGCTACCTACAGTCCAGTTACATACTTCCCTTAACACCCAATACAAACTGTTTAAACCTGAATCAGTTCCCAAACAGAAGCTACAGAAAATGGCCTCAAAACAAGAATAGGAAAACTCTGCAAATGCTACTTCAGAACAGAGAGGCATGTACAAAGCAGATCTACCATGCTGTATTTTAAGCCAGAAATCCATCAGTAAGAGGATTATCAAAAAGAAAAAAAAGTATCACTATCTAACAAAGCGATTTTTCTCTGACTGTTATACAATCACAGGATAGATTCTTACATGTCAGCAATGCAGTGGAGTTGTTTTCCATCAGAATGGCATTTCAAATAACCTATTAGGTCACCATCAGAATGGCATTTCAAATAACCTACTCTATTAGGTCGACTCTGAATCCACCAATAAACAATTACAACTTACTGCAGTATCTTGCTGTCACCCAAAGATGCATTTAAACAGTGTGTTGAGATTAAAAGCTGATTAAAGCACTGCTGTGATCACTGGTCAGCTTCCAGAAAAATGAAATTATGTTTTTAGTGTCTACTATTCAAGAGGAATAAAGAGACACATTGCTACTGCTTGCTTTGAGGCCCCTACCTCATGCTTTCTTTTTTCCTTTTCCTGCAAGTCTATCCCTAATCCTTTTACTCTCACATGTTTCTCAATATGTAATTTTAATCACAAATACATACCTAGATGGGTTTTACAACAAAGAGCTAGACTGAAAAGATAATGAAAGGAAAAATGTTGATGGCAGATGAAAGAGGTTTGTGAAGGGGACAGAAGCATAGAAATAAAGACACACCGTGGAGCCCTATTTTCTAGCCTTCTTGCTAGCTGCCTTTGTACAAGTTCAGAAGGTACAGAATTTCAAGGAACAGTAATTGAGGAAACAGAGAATTTAAGTGCAAGGGGCCTAATCTTACTCTATAAAATGCTTAAAGTAGAATGACAGTAAAAGAGGTGGATTCAAAGTGAAGCTTTATGGTACGTAAGATTTCAAATTTTACTTGCTGTAAAACCTTACTGGAACTCATTCAAAACACAAAAACAAAGATTCCAAATACAGAGCAGAACTGCAATAATTTTTCTACAAGTGAATTCCTGACCAACAGATGAAATATCTAAAAAGCATCTAATGCAGTCTTGAGGTTCCACAATCACAGCAAGTCATTTGTGAACGATAATAATTCCCTGCTCCAAATTTGTCTTTGTAACTCTTTAAAATCATGGGGGAAACTTCCTGCAGCCTCTCTAACCCTTTTGCAAAGGAAGAACGATGGGTCATGTTGTGGTATACTGTCCAAAGACCTTTCAGGACAAGGGAAAGAGAGCTGAATAAAAAAAGGAAGGCTTTAGGCTGGAGAAATAAAAGAATTCTACGTGACAGAATGTTCCTACTTCTTAAATCACAGTGGGTGTGTAACTCGTAGTTGTTCAAAGAGCTAGTTATTTCACAAGAGCTCTTCCTTCTCCTTGTGTGCTTCCAGCACAGCTGTACATTTTCCCCAGAGGAGATCGATGTGCTTAGGCATGATTGGTAGCCTTGGCTAGGTTCTCAGTATTAAATAGCTTTTCAGAGAGTGTATAGATGCCCTGTGGCCCGTGTTTACCCTCCTATTTGCAGATTCTCTTTTGTCCCACAAGCTGCTCAGAAACGCCTTGCACACTTGCAGGGCAGTCAGCCGGCTCCTGGCCGTTAGGTGGGTACTGCGTCTCCAGGTATGCAGTCTTCAGGACTATTTTTAATTAGTTCCTTTGCAGTGAAAGCACTTTTCTTTTTTTTTCTTTTATTGATTTCAAACAGTCATATACAGCAGATGCTTCATGTTTTCAGTCTGTCATGTGCGTTTCGTCTTACTGGCAGCTGCTTCTCTGGTGTGCAGACACATGATACGGGGAAGCACATTTGCTACTCTAACGCTTCCAGTAATGCATCAGCAACTTTCATTCAACATGGAGTCCAGCATCCCTGGGGGGCTTTAAAATGACTGCCCACTGCTCCTTTCAGTGCTGTTCTCCCAGACGTTGCTCCAGTTTAACACTCTGGAATTTCTATCAGTGCTGCTCCTTTTCATGACTCAAAGCAAACACACATTTCTTTTCCCTTTCACTCCTGCCTGGCTGGAAAGGGAAAAAATGATAATTCCACAGTAGTTAGCCCTGAACAGCACCATTTCTGTTCTTACCAGCTGCATGACTGCAGGCCTAATGCTGCTCGCTTCTTAAGGGAAACTTCTGTTGCTCAGCAGAACAGGCTACAGATCTTTCAAAGCCGCTCTGGTGGCGATGAGACAAGGCACCTCAGGCTATCGCCACACACAGGAAAACAACACAGCAGCTCAGTTGCACACAACTGCATTCAAAAGCACAAGAATAAAGATTTATACACAGCAGCACCAGAGCCAGCTGAACACATCAGAGCGAGCCGGACTCCCTCCTTCTCCGTGAGGGAGGCATTCTGCATTCGTCAGCCTGAACACGGTGGCCTTTGCCGCTAATAAATAATTGAATTCCCAAACCATCCCCCCAGCAGTGGGCCAGGAACACGCACAGTTCAGTTAGGCTGAAAGGGAAATTTTCACCAGTCACAAGCCTCTTTGCACCTTGCAGAAATCTTCTCAAGCACAGGCCGCAAAGAAGCCGCGCCGGCCTCTGCAGACGATACGTAACAAGGAGTTGGGCCACAATAAACCTCCAGGCCCAATTCCTACATCAAGATTCCTCGCACCCTTGTATGTAAAACAAGCACCTGCTGAATTTACGCCTCCTTGAAGGTCCCCTTACGTCAGCAGAATAGTAGGACTGGGCCTTAGCGTAAATCACAATACGCAGAGCTATTGTTCTCTCTCTTGCAATTAAAGGAAATCCATACAGACAGATATACTGACAAGAGACCCTTTTTCCTCTGAGAAATGGACTTAGCCGGGTCCCTAGATAATCACTCTTTTCTCAGCAAACTTGTTCAAGCACAGATAAGATCAGAAAAGCCAGCGAATAAAGGTATTCACACCCGAAGGAAAAGGGGCAGGAATGTTGCACAAAAAGCCAGAGCTGTCTGGTAGCTTGGCGGATCTGGGCTCTTACCCTCGGCACAAACAGGGCAGCGTTCAAGCACCAATAGCAGGAGATGACAACAGGGTATCTGTGAAAAATCACTGTTTTCTGCACACTCTTGAACTGATAACTTCTTTTAAAGAACAGTTCCCAAAGTAAAAACTTGCACATAAATTCTAGCTACGGAGAAGCATCTTCACGGCGTGTGGTTAGAGAGAGCCCACTGATGATAATTCACTGTGTGCTGGAGTTAAAAGAAAAGGGGATAGACACTGCCCTTGGCTGCCAGGCACATAGATTTTGGATCCGCTTCTACTGCGAGAAAGAGGGATACGCACACCAAAAAAAAAATCAGCTGATCTCAACAAGTATTCTTAATTTTATACAAAACAGATGAACATGACAGATCCATGCAAACCCATGCTAAGCCATTATTTTTGTCTTGGTTAGTTGAGATCAGAGCACGGCGACGGAGCACTAGGGAAGAGCTTGTGCGAGAAACAGCTAGTTCCATGACTAGCAAAATCAGTAAAGCTTGGTTTCCTGTTTGCACGTTTCCTAGAACTAATAGACAGCATGGATTCTCTGCTGTACAAAGAACGTTTCGTTTCTCTCCTCTAACTAGCTATCATTTTTCAGAAAGGCTACTGCAACTCAGTATCTTTAAGAACTCAACCTTCCCCTGTAAAATGTGGTTAAAACTGCCCAAAGGATTTGAAAGTTGCTGAGGGGAGACAACAAAAAGAAGTATACAGATAGATAGACACAAAGTAATCATGTAAGTTTGTTTTCTGAAGCTATAATAATAATAAAAAAAGAGAAGTAATAATCTGGACAAGCTGCTCCCAAAATACATATATATCACCTGCAATTTGACATATATACCACTGCAGCTTGAAAGTGGTATGCAAATGACATCCAAACAGCCAAATGCCATTCATGCATGCCACTGAGATTAAATTTGTAAATGCCTTGTACAGAGTACAACTGATTTAAAACAAAACACAGGAATTTAATTCAGCACAACTGGCACAGCAAGACTCTTCCTCTAGGGCGCAGAATGCTCTGGCTACTGTATCCTGCACCGAACCTACCCGGTAAGAATTTCACCGTACCTCCTTAAGGACTCTCCTTAAATATCTAAAACATTTTAATTTTATCTAAGTTTCTGCAAGAGTCATGCCAAAATTGCTCCGAAATTATTTTGGCCACAAGAGCAAAAAAACATTTCCAGAAAGAAAATATAGCTCAGGAGGATAGCACTGACAAGGAGAAACTTCACATACGAATTGAAGAAAAGGTAACGCATAATCCAACTGCAGCCTGAAAAGTGTAGGGGCACAAAATTGGGGGAAAGGAGTGCTCAGAACACAGTTTGCTCCAGCGCTCTACATGAGTGCATAAATCCATCCAGATTTGCCATCAAACTCACAAGAGAACTCAACTCAGAGAAGGCTATTAGGGAAAACATTGCTACTTAAAACTTGTGTAGAACTCTCCATCCGGCAATTTTTAAGCAATCAAGTAGTTGGTGAAGAAGAATAAAAACAGATACATTTGTGTGCTGTGTGATCGGTAGCTTAGGCTTTCAGAGAAAAATGATTCTACTTTATTAGATTTAAACTTTAAGGCCGGAATTCACTATACATTATTCACACTGTTACATTTGAAATCGGCAGAGAGGTAATCAATCAGCTCATTAGCTCCAAAATGTGTTTAATAATACACTTTGCTAAGTTCCTGTATTAAAAAACAAAAAAGAAACCAAACAAAAAAAAAAAAACAGAGCACAGAAAAACCTGGAGCCGTTAACATCTTTTTCTCATAAGTTAAGAACTAACAAGTCTAGGGCACTGTACTGCTGCTTTTTTTCAAACAAACAAACCATCCTCCCCCCGAAAAAACAACTCTTCCAGTTTTGCCACCTTGGACTAGTCTCTTGCTAACAATGCCCAGTTAACGATTCTCCCTTATTTCAATTAGACTGTTGAGATCTTTCTGAAATTACATCCAAGTACAACAGGGCTTCCTTTTTGCAGATAGCAGCACATGTCAGTTTGGCACAGCTTGCTTTTTTCTCGAGTGCCAGACGCCTCCTTATGTTGATACAGGAAGCTATCAAAAACATACTGCGGCTGGGTTTAAGAGCAGACTCCATAGCGTTGACCATCATTAGCATTTCTAGCCAGCAATGTTATGCTGGTGTGAAAATTAATCCTTTAGGACTAAGATTTCAAAAATACATCTCAAATGCCGCACTGTGATGGAGCAATTCCTCTAATTCAGACACGTGGCCTCTTTTTCCCATGAACTGCAGGATAGCGCACTAATTTTTATTGCTGGTGAACTCAGACGAGACTTTTTTAAATCAGACAAGAAGAATGCAAACACAAGCAAACGTTATGGTTGCATCCAATCAGTTCTGCTTTTTTTTTTTTAAATGCACAAAATGTATACACAAATTTACGCGACATTCAAACTCCTGACAAGTTACCAGCTCACCCATTGGTAACACAGATGTTGGGCATTTTTGACTCAGGACACCACAGCAGTGAAACACTGGAAAAAGCAAGGATTCATCCTGCCTCCTTCGGCAGTAAGGAGATGCATTTTCAGAGGGGGAGAAATTTTCTCTTCTCTAAGGTAGTAAACATTGAGCAAGACAACGATACAAGAAAAAGGTGGAGCATTCACCCAGATTAACTCCAGCAGCTCTTTTACATGACATCCTGCGTTTGTGGCTTATTTAACCTTAACTGTTAGAAGATAAAACTAAGTTAAAACGTGTGATATTTAGAGAGCATCTTGTGATATGCTCCTCAAACGCAACTCTCATTTTATTTTTACATTACTTTTCCTTAGGGCTTCCCTAAAAGCTTTGTATTTCTTCTGTGCTCCATTTGTAGCGGATGTTCTCAGATAACTTACGTAGCCAGGAGTTAAATACCATTTTAAAAAACAGGCCAGAAGTAAGCACAGTAAACACTTGACAAGAATACAAAGACAACTGGGCTCTGGAACCAGCCCCTTTTTGGACAGTTTTGAAGCTTCTGTCTAACTAGATTCATTTTGTGACAAACAAAAAATGGGATTAGATCAGCATTACTGTTATTATAGCAGCCACATGGCAGAACCTGGATGATTTTACCTGTCAAGCATTTAATCAATTTTTAGTGCTGCAGTGGCCTCTAATTTTGCATAGCTCACGAGAGACTCTACATGCCTTTCTCATGAGCATGAACTATAAGTTCACCCACACGTCAGAGTTAACCTACAGTGAAACTGCCATCTTTATAAATGCTTCACTATATATTTTTAAATGGCATTCTGTCTGGGAGAGAGATAGGGAAGGTCGTAGCCCATTGGTTCTTCCTCTTTTTTTTCCTGGAGGAAAGAGGGAATGAGTGGAATTCTGTATTTTAGATAACAGAGATTTCACTCCTAACAGATTTCAATGCCACATGTTGAAAATATGGTCAGTAAACAACAACTATAAGCCCCTAATTGTTCATATGACAAATATTTCACTGAAAAGTGGAGCAACATCAAAAAGCTAGAAAACAAATGGTCATTCTTAGCTCTGTCAGTGTTGCAGCTGGTATTCACGTGGGTTTCTTCAGAGCTTATTCTAGGCATCAGTTTAACAAGAAATCTGGCTCCCGATAGCCAAAGAGTTTAAAATCGCCTTCGAACCGAGCATAGAGGCGCCTTATGTCTCTCTTGCTAATTCCCGAAAAATATCGCTCTACTTTTGTCTTGTTGTACACTGTTATCCCTGGTGGAATCGTGGGGTATGATACCAGATGGTCTATGCCGGCTGCTTTCAAGATATATGGAGCATCATCCTCCAGGGTTTCATGGTGTCCAATCACACTATATGTGATTTCACAGGGGGCACACAGTTCCACATATGTTACCCAATGAATGATGTGATCACCAAACTGAACATCCAGCCACCGGTGATTTGGGTCACCCAGATAGCGCACAAAATCCTCGAACTGCAGCCCTCTGGTCTCTGTGCGATTCTTTCTATATTTACGAATGATGCCAGGAGCAATTTCATGCCGGTACCAAGGTTCAAACCGAGGATTGTGCACAAACTTGTCTTTAAATGCAGAAATAAGTCTTTCAAATGGATCTCTAACAATAAAAAACTTGAAGTATAAATTCAGTCTAAAAAGAGGAAGGAAGGAAGAAATAAGAAATTAAATAATTAAGGAGATATCCGAAGCGTTTAGCAAAGACTTACAAAATGTATGTGAACTCTGACCACGGAGACAGCAATATGAATCTTACATATGTCATTTTCATAGTCTATTAATATTGTAGCCAAAAAGACTTGAAATGCAAAAACTATTTAGTAAAAAGACAGAAACTATACACAATGCAAACTGTAAATAGTATTTGCTATTTGTCACACTTCATGCAAAAGGAGAAGCTTAGTTTCTCTTGACCCACGTAAACAGGAGACCAAGTCCTCTAAGATGCTGAAAGCTCTGAACTTAAGATATTTTTAATGTCATGGGATTGGGCTCAAAATAAGAAGCAACATACATAAAATGACACACAAAAATGACTTGCAACAGCAAAATGCATACAGAGGGTTGCAGTTTTCAATGGCAGGTAGTTAGACACGTTACTGCTTAAGTAAAAAACCATTTCTGGTATTTTATTTGAAGTTTTGGCATGTTTTCAGTAATGGCTGAGAACATTATTTTAATGACGCTCAACAGCCTTCAACGGAATTTCACATTTTGTCATGATATCACTGAACTGTAACATACTGTAGTTAGAGATTATCTGCAGGAGGAACAAGCTGAAAACAAAGTTTATTTCAGGTAAACAGCTGACAAAAGAGATTGAGCTCAATCCTCACTGAAGTAAGTGGATGGACTCTTTCCAGCCTCAACAAGGCACTTCATCAGTCTTCAAGTTCTCCTGACTTATACCTAGGCAGGACAAGAGGTGAGCAAACGAGACCAACAGATGCACACGATCCCTCTCTACACCTAAACACCCTGATAATGTATTTCAGAATTCCTGACAGAACCCACATTACGTATCTCCAGCACAGTTTCTGTAGTGGGCTGAGTATAATACCCCAAATGATGACATTCAGCAGCCCTCTATGTAGGGCTGTTCACAGGGAGATAAATTCACGTTCTCACAAACAAGGTGATAATATTTCCTTTTGCAAACTATCAGTCACAATGAAGTGAGTATGTTTCCAGACGCACGGCTGTGATCAATGGTACGTGTAACACTGAATGCAACAAACATTGGACTGAGCTCAAGTGATAGCTGCCACATCCTGTATAAGTGGCTAACTCTTCAGAATGGCTTAATATACAAGAAAAACATGCGAACACGAGCTTACAAGTGTCCACTGTCATTTTATTTCCTGTTCTCTCCATGCTGCAACCCCCTACAGGGATTATACTAGCAGAGATAAGAACAAGAGCAGACACAGTTGAAAACCCAGTCAAAGTAATTTAGAAGTCATCACCGCAGAAAAATAAATTTCCTGCTCTGAAATGGACCATGAGCACTCCTACAGAAAGATGAAGTGTTTCAGCTGAATGGACGATACTCTCTGGCTAAGGCACAGTGACTTTTTAAACCCATCTGGCTCAACCTAGATAAGTGAATCTACCTTCAACGCCAACCTTGCACATAGGTAGGAAGTTTTACTCTGTAAGGGATCTGGGTAGACCGCAAATAGCTATGTACTGAACTACAGAAATCCCATACCAAGAGGGATCTTGTTGGATCACCTAACTTATTTCATCAGCTATGCTGGTGTTCATCTTTGAAGATAGGAGGGAGATAATCATAACAACATCTGGATGGCTAAGGGAATAATGCTAATATCACTGTCCTCAATTCCAGATGCGGTCTTCAACCGCACTCCTGCCTGCTCACTCACACAGTTGTCACCAAACATCATCCACCTTCCTGGGAGGTCACCTCTTACCGTTTCTTAATTTCAGCATCAGTGAAGGAAGACAAGCGTGGAAGGCCATTCTTCTCATGGTCATGTACAATATTTTCTGGAATCTCTTCTATGGAAGAGAACGCTCCTAGACAAATCAGAAAGAGAGCAAGTGAATCTTTTTGGGGTGTTGGGGTGGGGGGGAGGAGTGAGCACAAGCAAGGATGTGTGTGCCTTTGGTTCACAGCTTTTTATCTTTCTGTTTTCTCTATTTTTACTGGTTATGGTTACTATGTTTAAATTAAACGATGAGAGATTCTGACTGTAATGCTAAGAGCTGTTAAAACTCTTCAGGGTATGTGACATCAAGGTCCAAGACCAAATCAGTTCAAATCTCTTAGAAACGCACATTACATAAATTTTATCAGCAATTATGTCTAAGCCTGTAACTCCCTACCTCACTATCCCCGTTCTCTTTCACCCTGCCCACACGTACAAAGAGAGGAAGACTTTGAGGATTAACTCCAAAGACAGGATCAGCTTTTTGGCCAAGTTTCCACAAGCAACAAAAAATAAATACTGTAGGCTGCTTTTGGAACTGTTTCAACACAAAAGCACTTGGCTGTCAGGATTCATGAAGCTCCTTCAATGGCTACACTGTGCTGAAAACAAAATTCCAGCCATGCAATATTACATGTATTAAAAAGGACTAAAAATAAAGACAGAAATCTTCCAGAAATTTATTTTTCAAGCACATAAATGGTAAGAAAAACAATGTCACTTAGTTCTGTTGCATTTAAGACCCTGATCCTGGAAGTTGTTATGACCTGGGGAAAGGCTCTCACGTGGACCCTTTGGACTTCAGGAGTAAGCCTCCACACAACAGCATCATTTCAGAGTACCAACCTGCAGCAAGAGCAGGGTGATACAAAACAGCGGTCCAGGGGAAAGCCTCTAAGGCCTTCTCTCTTCCAGTATTCTGACCACGGGAGTGGTGCAGGTAATAAAAGTTTCAATACAAATCTTAGGGGTTGCTAGAGCTACAATGTGCAATCCACACCACTTAGACTCTCAGTTTTATTCTATCCTCATTCTCTTGGCAGCCAGGGAGAATTACAGCGAGACAACAGATATCAGAAACTGAAATCATGTATTCTTTTTTTTTTTTTTCTTGGAGCATGGCTTTCAAAGGCGCTTAAGACAAATGTCCATACCTATGTGTGTCCATATCCTTGCTAGTTTTTCAGCTCTTTCATCCATATATTAAAGATGAAACTAATAGTCAAGTATTTAAGATACAGCCCTTATTAAACAAGTTTTGCAAGTTTTGTTGGGGGACACAGCTCCTTTGTCAATTTATAAGTTTGTTTCCTTCTGAGCGTGTGAACTAGCTCACACAAGGTAAAGTAACACATGAAAACACAACTGCAGAGCCAATATTTCTCAAGGTTCTTGTAAACTCATCTTTCTTGCTATAAAGTTCAGGTTTTGCCCACATCTTGCTGTGCTATGTCTTCTGCAAAACCACAGAAGGGCCCCCAACTGATCTGACTACATGTAGAAAATTCACAGCCCTGAGGTACAGGCAGGTAGGACCATCTTTTATGTCAAAGAGGGTGTCTTATGTCAAATATGGTTAAGCTAATAGTTTTACTGTAAGCGTGCAGACAATGCACAAAACCCTGAGGAAACCACTTACTTATATTGGCATACCAGGCTACTACAAAAGTGTAGTAGGCTATATACAGACAGGCAGGGTACACCTTGGAGACTGTTATTCAGAAACACTAGTTGCTTTGCTCCTTCTTTTATAGTCATTTTGTAATATATCTTTGTTGACCAAACTATACTCTTAAGGATCTGACCATCTTCGTAACTCATACAATTGCTCACTGATAGCGCATACATAAGATTTCTGCACAAGCGAGCAGCTGCCAAATTTGAACTAGCTTTCCCTTATGGCTAAAAAACGGAAGTTTTTTAGGGAACTGTGATGCATTATAATTTACTGGTTTAAAATTCTTTAAATAAGTGCCACTCCTTGAAGGATAATAAATCTACATGACACACGCATAAAGGCACTCTTTCATGACTCAAGCCACTTTTGAGTCAAACAATAACAATATTTATATTCACAGAAAGAACGGGTTTATTTTCTTTGAAAGAGATGTTTTAGAAGAACTAGAAGCAACTGTGAAGAATGAACTGCTGATATTAAGTATCAGTGTGCAGAAGACCAGGAAAAAATCCCTTTTAGTGTTGTCCCAGTTGGACTGATTCTGCTCTTTCCTCCTCCTCAAAGAAATCCACACACCCATATCAGAGTAGTTACCATTCAAAACGATCAAGACTTTTTTCCACTGAGTGTTGCCCACTTTCGGTGTCTGACAGAACAGGATCTTGTGCTTGTCACACACAAATATTCGATCCAGGACGAACTTGGAAACTGTGGTGTGAGAAAGATTTCTCAAAGCAGTGTCTCTGCAGACATTCCTGAGAAGCTCAAGTCTTTCCATATGAACCCGGGGCTGGCGTATCAGATTTCCAGAAAAAGCTTTTCCAGTTGGCTTCATAAAACAAAGTGAGGAAACAAAAAGAAAAAAAAAGTGCAAGAGTTTAGTTTTCAGATCAAACTGTCAAGTATAAAAGTACCTAATCTATGTATGAAAAAAAAGTGCAAGAGTTTAGTTTTCAAACTGTCAAGTATGACAAAGTACCTAATCTATGTATCCTAATAGCGTGCATATTATGACTTCCAGATTCCCTATCTTAACTAACGTTGTATCACAGTATGTTTCTTGTGCTGCTGCACATGCTGCTATGACTCTAAGTCATTATCTAGGGCAATAGTAAGAGATTTTCCGTACGGCAGTTGAGGACCATTGCAGAGCAGCCAGCTCTCCTCTGGGTGGATAATATATATCTTGACCTAGGAACACTGGAACTCCCATAAAGTTTCAGCAGCAAAGGAAGGAAACTTTCGGGAGGCTTGGATAGGAAGGCTTCGGAACTATACCGTCACTTTTAACACAAATTAATCTTTAATCTGTGAGGAGACAGTGCTTAGAGCTTCTAACCTTTCTGGCTGGGAGCTGTATTTTGGCATCTGCAGATATTCGGCATTTGTTTACCCCAGCTGCAGCGAAATCAATGGACAAAAATTCACATAATGAGCAATAGCACTTACTGTGGCAAATATGAGTAGCGGGCAGGACTCCCCTCCCCTCGCAAAATAGATTATCTGTTTGATATAGGCCTCCCTTTTCTGCTCTTAAACTAGGGCAGGAATTGTGACTACAACCGCTTCCCTCTGCCTCAGGCTTGGTGGTGGGAAAAGAGCTTCCCCGATTAACCAGGGATGGGGAATTTTAACTTTCAGATGAAAAACCTTCCCCCCCTCCCCTTATTGATTTACCCAGTTGGATCTGCAAAG